CACACACACACACACACACACACACACACACACACACAAAATCAATGTGCAAAACAGCTAAGTGTGAAACAAAAATTTTGGCCTTGGGCCTAATGATTGGCTTGAAGATCAAAATATAACAAGTTGGAAACAGACTATCATTGTATCTTAAGCTACTGAAAGAGAGGATCTCTCAGTGTTACAGCAAAAACCAATGTCATTAAGCTACAAGAGATCTTACTCATCTGTTGAGTAAGCTCAGATGCTCTACACTTACATGCATCCTGACTGCCCACCCACAACCAGCTACCTTCCTTACTCCAAATTATCAAGTGCCTCAGCTTTCCTCTTTTTACAGTCTTACTGGTTTCTTACTGGAAAGAGGAAGTAACATCTTTTCTACTTTTTTTTAAATTGGAGTCTCACTCTGTCGCCCAGACTGGAGTGCAGTGGCCGCTCCTGGCCACCGCTGCCTCGACCTGCTGGGCTCCGGCGATCCTTCCGCCTCAGCCTTCCAAGTAGCTGGAACTACAGGTGTGCACTACCACATCCGGTTAATTTTTTTGATTTATTGTAGAGATGAGGTCTCGCCAAGTTGCCCAGGCGGGTCTCGAACCCGCAGGCTCAGGCAATCCACTCACCTCAGCATCCCAAAGGCAAACATCTTTTCAAACACAATTTTTACTACTAATTTACTTAGTGGTCAAATGAGAAGTTTTAGTTTTGGTCTTTTGAAATATAGTATAGGAAAATGTCAAAGAGGAGAAAAAAACAAATCAGAATATACTATGTCACACTCTAGTCAGAATCTTGAGTTTCTAGCAAAACTTAGAGATTTTGGTATATAAAAACCAATCTATTTCAATTCAACTAAAAACAATTAAGCCGCCGGGCTCGGTGGCTCAGCCTGTAATCCTGCGCCTTTGGGAGGCTGAGGTGAGTGGATTGCCTGAGCCCGCGGGTTCGAGACCCGCCTGGGCAGCGAGACCTCATCTCTACAAGAAATTAAAAAATGAGTCGGGCGTGGTAGCGCACGCCTGTAGTTCCAGCTACTTGGAAGGCTGAGGTGGAAGGATCACCGGAGCCCAGCAGGTCGAGGCTGCGGTGGCCGGGAGCGGCCACTGCACTCCAGTCTGGGCAACAGAGTGAGACTCTAACTCAAAAAAAACCCAAAAAAACAATTAAGCCGTCAATTTGTCTGACAACTTGTTTTAGTTGGATTAAATAATTTAATTAAGCCGGGCTCAGTGGCTCAGCATGTAATCCCGCGCCTTTGGGAGACTGAGGTGAGTGGATTGCCTGAGCCTTGGGTTCAAGACCCGCCTGGGCAACTTGGCGAGACCTCATCTCTACAATAAATCAAAAATGAGCCGGGCATGGTATTGCGTGCCTGTAGTCCCAGATACTTGGAAGGCTGAGGTGGAAGGATCATTGGAGCCCAGCAGGTCGAGGCTGCGGTGGCCAGGAGCATGCCACTGCACTCCAGTCTG